TGTATTCTTTTACAGAATCCCAGTTAAAGAAACAACTGTCATTTCAATACATCATTTCAACAGTCACCGCGGCAGAAAGAGAACTCTGGCAGACCTCACACTAGTAGTTCAGCGCTCCAGCTCGCTTGTCTGATCTCTTAGTCACGCAGCCCCACCCAAACAAGGGTCTGGTCGTGTGCTCAGAAGTTGCAGAGTTAAAGATTGCCATGAACAATATAGTGCTAGCACAATTTCTATGAGATGAAAGCCCCTGTGTCTCACCGACCTCTGTGTGAACATTGCCTGGCACAGGGTCTTGCTGAGATTAGGCTCAGTTATTGCTGAATGGCTACAGGAAGAGAGAGGAGAAGGAACAAACAGGGAGGGGCAGCAAGCTCCTGACATGCAGAAAATATCTGAGACCATTTTCCCGCCGAGCACTGAAAATGGTGCACAGTAAGAGCACTACAAACATGTGCTGGCTGCAGTTGCAGTGACTTTCATTTGTGACTTCCGTTCTTGACGTGTTGCTTTTTGTCCATGCTACAAAATCTGGGGTCACAAGCAAGGTCTGTGCTTGTGAAGCTGAGCTGGGACACAGGCTTGACTCTGGTCACAGAGGAGGCTGAGCACAAAGGTGAACCTCAGTGCCAAGGTCCATGCCAGGCCTGCTCTCCCTTCCCTCCTCGGTGAAGGCCCAGAAGACTGGGGCTGTGTGCCAAGCCCCAGAGCCTGCCCGGGGCTACACAAGCATGACTGCTCTGTCCCAACCTGGCCCTGCAGCCTGCTGGTCATCAGCCCGTCTGGCCAGGAGCATGGACCTCGCTTTTGAGTTGATCTAATCCTTGGATTACTTATGAAATGTTGCTTGCAAGCGTCAGAAACCTGTTCAAAATGTTTTTTAAAAGAGTACAAGTGGGTGGTTTGTCCATGGCTCTGCACGGTGCTGTTTCCGGCTTCAGTTCCCCCTGTGCTAGCCTCATCCTCACACCGCCTCTTGTCACTATGTGAGCCCAGGAGCATAGTAAGGGCTCAATAAACACTCGCATGACGAAGGAGATTGTTAGTGCTCTGCACTGCATCCTATGCACTGAGCAATTCCAGGGATAAAGAGGAACTCTTTCCACACCAGCATCCTTAAGGCTGACTTAAAGTCTGACTTGGGTTTGGGTCATACATTTGTCAGAGCTGGCGAGACTTTCCCATGGTAACACATAAATCCTACAACACCAGTGACTTAATATAATAATACTTTGCTGCTTACATCATCCAGTGAGTTTGGAGGAAGAGAGCTGTGCTTCAGGCCATCACGAAGATATCAGGCTCCTCTCATACTGTGACCATACCATCCTTAATGTAACACTCAAGGATACTAAGGCAAGGCACAAGATAGATGACAGAATCAGAGGATTTTTTAGTGAATATGTCTATAGTAGCATCCTCTCTGCCCGTTTTCCATTTGCTAGAGCAGGCTCCAGAAGAGAATGACCTGGTTTGGTAACGGCATCATACTGTGTCTTGCTGTAAATTATGACCCTCCTGGACTCAGTCTGGCTGGGCCTGGCTGGGCCTGGGTTTCATGCCTCATCTGGGAATGGATCTGCGCATCGAACTGCATAGGCTGGTTGTGTGGAAAAAGAAGGCACCTGCTGTGGTGTGGACAGTGTTTGTCCCTCAAGGATTCATTCGTTAGAAACTCAGTTCCCAGGGGCTGGTGCCAAAAGCAGGTGGGGCATGACGGGAGGCCTTCAGGTCATTTCATGCAAGGCCCTCCAAAGTCATGAAACGCTGATCTCTCTGTTCTGGTTTGAGAGCCACTGCCTTCCGCCTCTTGCACCAAATTCCAAATAAATGAAGCTGCCCGATCTTGGAGCTAAATGAATCCCTTCTCCTTGCAAGCTGGTGCCTCGGGTATTTCACTGAAGTAATGCAGTGCAGATTAGCACAATGTCTTTTCCACACGGGAGCACTAACAGGGCAGGTGGCAATATTGGCCACTAATCCCCACACTTTTTCCTTTTTGGCCCCACACAGGGCTACAGGCACTTCCTGACCGCCCTCAGCAACGTCAACCAGCTAAGGGCCTGGAGAAACCCAAGCTCTGTTTAAATTATTTCCAAACAACTTTTAGATCCCTGTGGTTTATTAAAATCTAATTTAATAAGAATCTTCAAAGCTTGTTTTCTAAACACAGATAAGAGATTTATAATTTTATATCAGATATCATTATAGTAATCTGAAAATTGAGCATCCCTAATCCAAAAATCTGAAGTCTAAAATGCTCCAAAATCTGAAACTTTTAGAGGTCTGATAATGATGCCACATGGGGAAAATTCTCCCAACCCTGTGGGATGGGTTAATGAGTTGTAATCAAAAGATAGGCACTCTAATGCTTTGTATAAAATTATCTTCATCCTTCACATATAAGGGACACAAGAAACATACATAAATTTCATGTTCAGACTTGGGTCTCAGCCCCCTAATCTCATTATGCAAACACAGATTTCCAGCATCTAAAACACTCATGGTCCTAAGTATTTCAGATAAAGGACACTCAGCTTGCATTTTAGTAACTTACCAAACCTAAGTATGCAGCTTATATGTATCATTGTTAGAAAACTTGGAAAGTAGAGATAGGTCACCTCTTACTTAGATAGATGCAGTAACAAACAGCCACAAACTGCAACATATTTCAGCAATAAAAGTGTGTTTTTCATTTGTGTCTCAGCGTGAGCCCATGGGACACGTTCCAGCCACGGGGAAACGGAACTCGCTGAGGAGCGCGATGGCTTCTCCTCCTCTCTTCTCCTCGCCTCTCCTGTTCTCTTCTTTTATCCTCTCTACTCTCTTCTCTTCCTTCCTTCCTTCCTTCCTTCCTTCCTTCCTTCCTTCCTCCCTTCTTTTCCTTCTCTCTCTTTCTGTTGCTCTTTCTCTCTCTCTCTTTGGTACCGGGGATTGTACCCAGAGCCTTTACCCTGAGCCACATCCCCAGTCTCTTGTCTTCATTCTAACTATCTAAGTGTCCAGGACGGGCCTGGCCTTGGGATCACCCTGCCTCGGCCTCCCACAGTGTGGGATGCAAGCGTGAGTCACCACGCTCAGCTGCAGCATGGCTTTCAGTGCTTCTATCCCAGCACTACACAAGTCAGTGCCGCTCACATTCCTTTGACTATATCAAGCCACATAGCCAAGTCCAGGGTCAGAGGAGAGAGCAAATATACTCCTTCCAGAGGGAACACTGAGAGGGGAGCACTTCTCCAGGTCAGGCAATGTTTAACGAAGGTTTTTGAACCATAGTTGGCCGAATCTGTGGATGCGGAACCTGCAGATATGGAGAGTCCTCCATAGTTTTTAGCCATGTGTAAGCAAAAGTATCTGTTTAATCATGCTTTGCATGAGTCATTCAAACCATTCAAACTCATATAACTGATCAACCGAGCATAGTTACACCTATCAACTTGATGAACCTATCAACCACCCCATCCAAACTTAGCCAAAATGATTGCCCAGAACACTCCATTAATTTGATTAGGAAAATAGATTAGTTGGCTTGACCTTGTTAAATACCTCCTATAATTCAGGAATTGATATTTCGTTGACTTAATTGTATTGATTTACTACATAAATTGCATGCAACATCCGACTTCATTTGTAAGTCATTTGTTATTTCCTAAATATTATCTAATTTCTTTTTTTTTGGATTTTTTAAAATTTTATTTAAGGAGAAAAAGAAAAAAAAAACAGAAAAAAGGTACAAGTTATACAGAATTTCAAAAAAAATAAACAGGAAATCACTGGTTAATAGATTACATATTGTCATTTTAGAAATAGTTGTTTAAGTTACATAATTAAAGCATATAAAGTGGACATTCAAACGGTGAGACTGCAAACAGTTCTGTTCAATGATCCAACAAAACTCAGTAATGTGGTTATCTATCTTATACACTTATATATACATGCAGTTATATCCTTTAGAGCACTTTCTTTTCCTCTTTTTTACAATAACAATTACACATTTTGGGTTTTATTACTCCCACAATTCTTATTACTTTGTTTTGAAGAGAATAAAACCAAATGTGACATAACAAAACAGAGTCAGTCAAATCAAAAGGATGGACATAATACATAATGTTCTAATTTCTATAGTAAATTTTTTTTTGTCTGAGACAGGGTTTCATTGTGCAATTCAGGCTGGCCTTGAGCTCACTTTGTACTCCAGATTGGTCTCAAAGTTGCAATGATCCTCCTGCTTCAGCCTCCTGTTGGAATTACAGGTGTTCACTACTACTCTTGGCCTTCTACAGTAAACTTATAAGGATGATTTTTCTGTTTTGCTAAAAGCTCGATAAGCATGTCTGAGTAACCACATAAGTTTATTACATAGATTTATAATCATCATGTAACCCAAGTGTCTAGCACTGAGCTTTACTATTGAGTATGTGAATGGGAAGGACGGTTTATCAGTGAGTATGACATGCAGGGGAGGACAGTGAAGCCTTCACAAGTGCAGAGGTGGCCCTTCATTGAAGACTGGGAATTATTTAACCCATAGCCGTCTGTAAGGAACTGCTTCTTGGCCCCTGGGACTCTTGAACCATCAGTGTTAAACCTAGTAAAGGCACTCTTCTTTTATATATGGATCTTCTGGTGACCAGTGAACTTGAACTTGCCTTGTAAGTTCAAGGTTGGAGGAAAGAGTTTTGGGAACAACAATGATTGTTGCACAACATTCGGAGTGTAATTATCATCACTGAATTGTACACTAAAAGGTAGAATACACTCAAAGGGTTTGTTGTCACTTTGGAAATTAGACTGTAAGTGGCCATGGCTCTTCTCGCTCACTGACAAAGAACAAGGTCACACAAGGTTCTTGTTCTGCACCTTACACAGATGCACAAGATGACTTGGCCAATGTGAGCCATGGCCACAGTGCCCTGTGGTTCCCCATCGCACCTGTCCAGAGCCTACACTGGGAACACTCAGTGATCAGAAACATGAGCATCCATTGGGAAGGGCTAACTTCAGGATTTCCAGGCCAGTGAAGCCCATAAAAGCAACAGACTCTGCCATACATTGCCAAAGAGGCTGCTGTTTGTAGCCACACACATGGAGTTCCTAAGAGGAAAAAAACACAGTCAGCTTAATGGTCTGCAAAGGATTTTCTAAGGCCTCTAGTTTGCCACAATTGGCATGTGCTTATAAGAGAATTACTTTCTCCTTATGCAAGTAGCTCATAGACAAAGAGAGGTTTATTAGGATGATTTGGTCACATATTGTAGAAAATGCAGATAAGGGGGAAAAAGAGCATTATGTGTGCCTGTTGTCCATCTTCAAGAAAGAACCATATGGCTATCCAAAAAATTTGTATGTTTACTTTTTTAAAAATTGGTTATTTAAAAGTAAAAATTGTATGGCTCTCTTTTTCCTTAAGCTTGAGACTCACAAGAGAACTAATAAGGTGAAGGTTATGACCATGTTGAAGGCTGTCTGTTGGGGACATCTGATTGTCCCCAAATGTTACAGCAATGTAGACTTCTCCAGCTGTGCAAGAGTAGGTGCCCCCAACTCACCCACTAATGCCACTGACTGTTGTGATGGTCACTTGCCTGAAACCTGCCAGCAGAGACTGTGACTTGAGTGCTGGTGACGTCCCAGTGGGCGCTGTATCTCAGTGGCAGACCGAACCCTGAGAGACAAGGAGCCCTTAGGCTACATCAGTTCAGCTCCACTATGTGATATGCAATGCTGCACCAAGATGCAGCTCTGACTCAGGCCCCCATTCTGATGTGCCGGCGCTGCTGAAGGCTGCCCCCCAATCCTCAGCTCTGCTGGTGGACTTGGATGTAAGGAGAGTCTTGCACTCACTTGATAGGAGAGCTGGGTAGAGTGATTTTCCAATCCTATATCTGGGAAAGGTTTCATATCAAGGGTATATAGGGCAACAGACACCTGATTTATAAAATGACTGAAGAACTTGAAAACACATTTCTGCCAAGATGTACAAATGGCCAAACAGTAATCCTTAGGGAAATGCAAATTAAATCCCCAATGAGATGCTGTCTCACACCCATTAGAATGTCTAATATCAGTAAGAAAGAAAAATTGCAAGTATTGAACAGAGTGTGGAAAAATTGGAGGCCTTGTGCCCTGTTGGTAGGAAGAAAAAACTGAGTCCGTCCTTATGGAAAACAGTGTGAGGTTTCCTGAAGACACTAAACACAGAACTGCGGCACGATTCAGCAGTTCCACCTCTAAATGTGCACCCCATGTGCTCAAAGGCAGGATCTGGAGGAGATATTTTTACATCTGTGTTCAAAGCACCGTTAGTCATAACGGTTAAAAGGCGGCAGCAACTCAAGTCCATCCAGGCACGGATGGATAAGCAAAATGAGGCCTGCACGTGTTGTGGAGGCTTCCTGGACCCAGTCTCACAGGAGCTGTTTGGCACGCGCTCCAGCACGGACAAAGTGGGCGAATCCTAGGGCCGTTATGTAAGCAGAGTAAGCCAGTCACTGAAAGACAAATGTGATATGATTGCACTTGGGTGAGGTGTCTGGAGCAGTCAGACACGCAGAATGGTAGGGGCTGGGGGACAGGAAATCCCTTTCTAACGCTTGTTGAATTCCAGTTTTGCAAGATGAAAAGAGTTCTGGAGATGAATAGTAGCAATAGTTGCACGACAGTATGAATGTAAGTACTTAACACAGCTGAACCTACCCTGGAGATGTGTTAAGATGGTGTGTTTTGATCTGTACGCTTTACCACAATAAAGAAAAAGCTGCAGCTGGGAATAGTGTCACACTCCAGGAATCCCAGCTACTCAGAGTTGGGGGCTGCGTATTGGAGCAAGAGGATTACAAGGTTAAGACCCGTCTGGGCAATTTAACAAGATCTTGTCTCAAAAATTTTAAAAAAGTGATGTGGGATGCAGCCGAGTGTTGGAGTGCTTGCCTAGCTGCTGTGCAACACCCCTGGGTTCAGTCTCCTATACTGGGTGAAAAGGTTGGAGGAAAGAGTTTTGGGAACAACAATGATTGTTGCACAACATTCGGAGTGTAATTATCATCACTGAATTGTACACTAAAAGGTAGAATACACTCAAAGGGTTTGTTGTCACTTTGGAAATTAGACTGTAAGTGGCCATGGCTCTTCTCACTCACTGACAAAGCCAGGGCCCTGGGGTGAGCGGCCTTCAGAGAGGCCCTGGGACGGAGCTGCAGTCCTTGGGTTAACAGCCAACAAGTTCTATTAACACAACTGGGCACATTCGGAAGCTCCCGTCCCTCAGGGAATAAGAAATACCCTTTTATTAAAAAATGCTATTGGAGAACATTGTTCCTATATTTTAGCTCATCTTCTGCTGCTTCCACGGCTGCCATTATAATGGAATGCCTGACACGAGGCAGTTTGTATATTTTCAGAAAGAAGTTTATTCTGGCACACACTCTGAGAGGTTGGGTGGCGGCCTCTGGCTAAAGTCCCGTACTGCGGAACGAAGCGGTGTGGCAGGCAGGCAGGTATGGAAGAAAAGTGGAGGGCAGAGCCAGGGGAGGGCAGGGAGGTGGTGGGCTACATCGGCCTGACTAGACTGAGAAACATCGAGCTGGCACATTTCTCAGGGGGCTTCCGGAGATGACTGGCATGGGGGCAGCACACTGAGGGGAAGGTCTTCTCTGAATGGAGGTGGCACTGCCCAACAGGAAGGGGACCCAGACAGAGCTAAAGCAGAAGACAGGTGCTCTAGCTTTTCTCTCTCTGCTCCTGCTGCCATCGGCCGGGAAGCTCTCCCCACCTTACCCTGGAATGTTTCTGCCTTGCCTCAGTCATAAAAGCCGTGGAGCCAGCTGACGTGGACTGAAGCCTCTAAGACCATGAGCCAAAAAAGTCTTTCCTCCTATAGGCTGACTTTCTCAGCTATTTTGTCATGGCAACAAGAAGCTAACTAACACAGGAAGCGCCAGGGTAGCTTTACAGCAACGCACTCTTGTGATAACCAGTCCAGCCCTCTACAGGACCTAATCCCTCTTAATGACTCAGTCACTTCTAAAAAGCCCCAACGTCTCTCAACAGTGCTGTCTTGGGGACTGAGCCTCCATGTGAGTTCTGATAAGGACAAAGTATATGTAAACCATTTATCTAGATTAGAGGTGACAAAGTCAATGTGTACGTGGGTTTGCCTTATTTTTGCTTTGTTTTGTTTTTACAGTAGAGCAGGTCACATGGTATTTAATGTGGCTTTTCGCACAGGAAAGCTGCCATCGTCCGCATTCCCTCCTGGCACCAGACCGCTGAGGGAGGGGAACACAGTGCAGTGCAGTGTTGGTTATGGAGGACACTGCTCTTTACTGCGCTCACTTCTGAGGGCCAGTGTTAGCTGAAATGTAGGCAGTGTGATAAAATGCAGTGAATATTTAAAGTTTTAAAATCTTACTACATTTACTACATTGCCAGTCGCTCTCCTCAAAGTCCTGGCCATTTTGGTAAGCAGCTCTGGAGCCCTCTTTTGTGTCTTTTGTGGCACTATTAAGGCTGCCTCAATGCCCTGAATCCATTAAAAAAGTTTACCTTTCATCTTAGCCACTTTCTTACTGCTGGAACAAAATACACACCTGACAGGAAGAGGTGTTTATTTTTGCTCACGTTTCAGAAGTTTCGGTCCTTGAATGGCTGGACATGTTGGAAGAGTCTGCTGCAGCGGCCAACTGCTCCTGTCATGGTGGTCAGGAAGCTTCCAGGCCTCTGGGCCCCAGGGCCGCGCCTCCTCAGCTGAGCCCCACCTTCCGAGAGCTCTGCCTGGGACCACTTGGGCTCTTGGGGGGCTTCCCAGGTCCCCATAATACCTCTCATTACCATTTCGACTTGGGGGGAGTGCCAAAGTGTGAGGCGCCAGACCCAGTGAATGGTGTGGGTGAGGACACACCACAGTGTTTTTATTTGACAGAAGTTGCCATAAACATTTACTTCTGACATGACAGCTCTCAAGAACACAAAATGCAAATTGTCAGGCTTTCTTAAGGCTCAGATTTGGAGCTGACCCAGTGTTCACTATCTTTGCATTACTGCAGCAGGAGACCTGAGATAATCAGCTTCCTTCCTTCCTTCCTTCCTTCCTTCCTTCCTTCCTTCCTTCCTTCTTTTCGTCAGTGATGGAGATGGAATCCAAGGCCTCACATGTGCTAGGTGAGTGCTCTGTCACCAACCCACTTCCCCAGCCTGCATCCGTTCATCCTGTTCAGCCATATTGACCTCTTTCGTCCTTCTTTTTCAAGGTGTCAGGACTTTCCCATCCTTCCAAGGTCTGATCCGTTTCTGCACCCGGGCTTGGTTACACTGACCTCTCCTGGATGAAGAAGCACCCTTTTTTGCACTGTCCAGAGGGGCAGCTTCCAAAGGCTCCACCTCATAACCCTCCTGCTTCTGCCTCCTTTGAGGCTGAGAGCAGAGGCATCCTATGCTCTCACCCTGCCAACATTTTAACACCAGAAAGTGTTCACCAAAAATCAGAATGGCCAGCTTCACTTAAAAAAAAATACTGTGTGATCTACAGAATCCCAGGTGCCGGAGGACAGCACCATCCCTCAGATAATGGGCATTGCTCACTGGATCGCCCACTGGTCTTTTTCCTGTCAGACACAGCAAAGGCTGGGGGCGGCGGTGACCCAACCCTCTGCTGCCAGACAAGCCAGGTCAGACACAAGCCTTGCACATGTGGATGCGCCCTGCTGTGTACCAGCAGTTCCCCACAGGAGCTGTCTCCAGGCCTGTGAAGGCACTTTACCTGCCCCCATCATGACCATGAGCTGGGAGGGCAGGTAGTGAGAGGAGCAGGCAAGAGCCCAGAGTGGGCCGCTCTGCTCAGTCGCACCCTCCAGTATGCCCGGGTCCAAGACCTCACTCCGAGGGATGTCAGCAGCCACCGCCCTGTCTGGGTTTTGTACCCAGGCTGGGAGCCTTGGGGAATACACAGGAGGGTGGATGGCAAGGGCAGCAGCAGGGGCTCGGGAGCACAGCCAGCCTTCATCCCTGTTGGGAGGGACCCCACAGCCTCAGCCCGCTTGGGCTGAGGGCTGCAGACGGCTCTGTGCCACAGGAGCCTTGGTGGGGGCTTCACCTGTGTCCGTGTTCTCCGGAGCCATGTGGCCACCTGGGTCCCT